AACAAAAAAAGTTACTTTCAACTTGGGTAATTACCAAAACTTGACAGTTCTCTTGTTTAATCGTAGCATGAAATGGCTACCTTGCTGATTAATTTAATATGAAAATGCTTGTGATACTTTAGAGGCAGTGGGTGGTAATGAGTTGCAAATAATTTATGCGTTAGCAAGGGAAGTTGTAAGCGTTATTGATAACTTTTGCATCATCTTTTGAGGGGGAACGAAAGAGGCGGCAATGACATGGTGTCTGTGTCAAAAAACTCACGAACTTGACTTAGTGCACTCTTATTTTTACGAATTTCTCTGGAAAGGGGGCGAAGGTTATGTTTTTGTCGCATCGAGGCCCAGAATCAAGCTTTTGTCATTATCAAAACTTTCCCAAACTGAATAATTTCAAACATTTTCCTTAGATTCCTCTGTCTTTTAAAAGAAGGAATCAAGGTGTCGAAAAAAAAGGATTGTATCTGGAGCTTCTCGCAAAATTTCAAGCAATATACCGCCGCTTTAACGCTTATTATGCATAAAAATGTTTTTAAATACCTTCATCGTGCAAGAAGAGCCAAAGGCACTCGGTGCGGTTAACAGGTGGCTGTTATCAAACTTAAGGACGTAAACCAATCACGTTGCTGCACAGTTACGATTTAGAAATTCTGTTTATTTTGTTAAAAGCTGTTTAGAAACGCAGCATGGAAATAAGTACAATTGATTTGGTGGCAATACCCCTTCTTTAAAAATGACTCAAATCGCATTTTTAGCTGAGGAAATTGCGAGGACTGTAACTCAAACTGATCTATCGATAGATAAGGCAGTATGATGCAGGATCCTCGCAGTAGAGAGCGCTATTTATGCAATAGGCAGTATTACACAATTTTCGTTTTATCTTCCCACACCAAACCGCAGTACCTGTTTCTAAGCATAGCATTTACGTAAGTTTACTTGTAAGAGATGTCAATAGTTTATAAATAGATTACGTCGCAACATTTAGCAATGACAATAAAAGTTGCACGATATATCACTCAGGTCAAGAAAAATTGAGAATACCACGACTTTATGTCATCGCTTTTTTCGATCCAATGATGCTGGTTTGAGAAGTGTTGCATTCTACTTAAAACCTTTAAATTAAACGGCCCAAGATATGTTTGTGTTTTTTAACTAGGTAAGTTACACGTCGGCATTGGCATAACCACTTTGTTCAGCTTCCCTTTACAGCTAGGGGGGGAGGGGGCTGGGGGTCTTTGAGTTCTCAAAGAATGGCTGCGAAGGTGACTGGAGTGATGATTAATTTAGTTTGATGCGACCCATCATCAGGGTCAAAGTGAAGAGTCTTCGAAACGCCAGCCATAGAGGAACAATTAAATGCAGGGAGCCTCGGACGAAAGGAAAATCTCAGCCGCTTCTTTCTTTTGAAAGCCAGTCATAGAAACATACGTTCAAATTTAGAGGAGCACAAGTTACTACAGGGTCACTTTTCATTCCAAATCCTATTCATGACGCCCGATCAGCGGAAACCAGAGAAAAAGAAGGCGCGCGAAAAAAGGTGCGTCAACGTCACAAGGCCACCTCGATAAAAGGTTCTCCATCGTTTCTGCCGCCAGTAGTTGGTCAAAAGGTTTCTCATTTTTTTGGGAACTATTTTTATTTCAAACAAACACGCGGAAGTATCGATAAAAAAATGTAATCCTTATCAGAACATTAAAAATACCCATTAAAAATTAAAGGGTTACGTGCCTTGTTGTATTCTTGTAGACAGTCATCTGGAAGAAAAAATTTCACAAATGCATTAACCACCATATATAATTAAATAGTGCTTTTACTATGCTTCAAAGCACACATAGTGTAGCGCCTGATTATATTTGTAAGCTTATTAGTTTACGATTCCTACTAAATGCAAACAAATGTTTAATCAGAAACTTGTCTAGATAGCCCCAAGAGACAAGATGTAAACTACACTACGAGCAAGGGCCTTTCCCTCTTCAACCACGAACCAGTAGTATAGGACGGGTGTATGGTCTAAACCAATGAAGGAATGACACGTCATCAAATAACGTTAAGTCACAAACAACCAACCAATTAAATGAAAATACGTCACACAACACTAAACCAATCATGCAAAACAACATCACAAATTTTGTGACGTAATGTTATTTAATGACGTGTCATTCGCTTATTGGTTGAGACCATACACCCGCCCTATACTACTGTCAACCTAGTGACATCACTGGCCTGGACTCTACCTCTAGTTATAAGCGTAATATAAAAACTTACCTTTTTCAGCCGAGCTTTCAGTTTGTTTCCCCAGTCATGTAGTGTTTTATTTTTTTCAAGGGAATTATTAGGTTTGGTGAAATATTTGTTTATTTTTAAGTTTACATTGTTTTTAATTAGTTTCCACAATTAACAAGAATTTTTGTTTTCTGTGAAGTGTATTTGATCATAATTCCATGTAATTTGCGCAATACAAATTCTAATTGTTATTATTATTATAGAATTATTGTAAAAAGTATTGGTAAAGTACTGACGTCTAGTGTGAAAACGTCAAATGTCAAAATTCAAACTCAATCGTGCCGAACCATCACTCTTTCCTTCTTGTCATACAGAGTAAAATCAGTTTTATCAACTGAGTTGATAGTGTAGATTGGCCACTGTAAAAAGTTTCAAAGCTGGCTTACTCCCTTTTCTTAGAAAATAGTCTAGCTCAGTAGAAGATGGTCGAGGATTACTTCTTTACAGAATGCTAAAGAAAGCCAGCGAAGGAAAAACATGGATGGTGACGTCAAGGAATAGGATTTGCGTATTCGATAGAGACACTTTTTTTGTAGAGAACAGCGAGGAAGAATGTAGCTGAAGGATGAAATACAAGAAAGAAATTCTAGTATTAAGTTCGAAATGAGATGGAACGCCATACCTTTCCGCTTGCCTTCGAGTTACTGGGTCTTAAAAAAGACATAGCTATCACCTTTGTCGACTTTCATCGTCGACAATTAAAATACACTTGCAAATGGATTAAAAGAAGAAACATTAAAGTGCACCTGACCCCTAAATTTCTTTTTCACTTAAAAAAAATCTTCCTGCTTTGGTAAGTATTTCTTCGAAAAAATTGTTAGTTTTGGTTAAACCCTCATTTTTTT